CACATCTCGATTTCTTGTTCCTAACCTAAAATTTAGGCCAAACAAAGTTTTATACATGAATCCCTTAAATTTTTATTTTTTGAACTAATTTTTGTAGAATTCTCTTTTATTCAACAGAATAAAATCACCCTTTTCAAAATATTACAAAATATCGGTAAAAGGTAAGTATGAAATGCTAATAAGAAAAGGTCCTTTTTTTGTTTAAATGCATATTTACAATTAATAAAAGCAGCCCATGGAATACAACAAAACAAATAAATGATCAAAAGGTAAATAATCCTCAACTTGTCAATAGTTGTTAATAGTTTCGGGTTACTTTGAGCAATTTCCGTGTTTACCAAATGCGTTTTACGAACGATAAAGTCGCTGATATGCTTGCAGTTTATCTTTAATGTCTTCAGAATGCCGCAGTAGCAAAAAGAGTTTACGCGACTTGATATCCAAATCGGCGTCTTTGCGATGTGAGTTTTTTTTCCAAATTAGTGGCGAGCTTGTAAGCCAATAGTAGCTTCCGGCCTACGTTTCAACGGCAAAGAATTGCAAGAATACAAGAAAATATTAACCGCATACTAGGATATATTGAAGGAAGTCCTCATGTTAGCACAAGGGCATTATCCCTTCAGTTGGGAATATCACGAACAGCGGCCCAAAATATTTTGAAGGACCATAGGTAAGTTATATTGACCATCAAAGTATAGAGATTCATTTAAACTTAACTTCTTCTAATTACTACCCTAGCATGTCGTTTTTCATCACGCATTGAAGGAGGAAGACTATTGCCATTGGATGTTAGGCATGATAAGCGAAAATAGATATTTTTTTTCAAATTCTTTGGATCGATGACGCCACCCTTAATAGTATCGGGATGGTGAAGCTGCACAATATGCAGTCTTGGTCTGCAGAAAAACCGCATTGGTTGTGTGAAGCTCGGTACCAAGGGCGTTGCAGTTTAAATGTGTGGCATACTGGGCGCCAGAACTGTTGGACCATATTTTTTTCGAGCAATCCCCAAATGACAATGTCCTTCTTGACTTTTTGAACAATCAGTTGCCGTTGTTGTTGGAAGATGAGCCACTGGAAAAACTTGTTGTTGCAGCTTAATGTTTGCAAGCACATTTTACTATTATTGTGCGAGAGCATATTAATGTAGTAGTTCAACAGTGGTGGATTGGAAGGTGAAGTCTGGTTCCATGGCCTTCGCGATCAGCAGACTTAACTTGTCCTGAATTTCATTTATGGGGACGGTTAAAGGACATCGTGCTTCAGACCTAACTTGCAACCAGAGAAGATATGAAAAACCGGATTCGTAATACCTGAATTGAAGCTGAAGTTTTTTCGCCCTATGACAGGGTTCAGGAATGCATAGAGCGTGATCAGCATTTCGAGCATTTACTGGGCATTCAAAACCTTTCTCTTTTATACTTAATAAACTCTAATAATAAAGACGAATTCCAGAAAAAATATTTTAAAATTGGCCTAAATTTTAGGTTATTAATAAGATATAGAGATGCGGTTCTCGCGTGCTTGCTTAGACATCATTTAGCTACTTTTTCATAAAAAATGATACCGATGCGTTAATTTTTTTGAAAAAATTTCTGTCAGAATGTCGATGAAAGCTCTCTAGCGGCCACATGTGAAACTAACAAAACTTCAAATATTATAACATTTGTAGCCCAAAAATTGCTCTTCTCAACTGACCCAACTTTGTTAAAATCAGCTCAGGCGTTTCGAAGATGCAGGGTATTTTTTACGGAAACATTTGAATACTCCCCACCACTTTATTTTTAGAGATACAGCAAACATTTTAAAACAAAAAAAGGTTCAGATTATCCTCGAATGTAAAGGACAGGTATTTTTTTGTTAGGTTAATATAGCAGAATTCACAGAAAATTCACTATCTTAGATCCAAGATTGCAGTTACGCCCCCTAGCGGCCATTTCATAAAATATTTTCCAGGTTTTTCTCTTGGTTGTTATAGCAAGAACTTCTTTGCCGCAAGCCTCCACGATAGATAGGTTTCCAGATACAGTATCTCGCATTCTTAGCTGGCCACCCTCTACACCTTGAGGTTACAAGGACTCTTTCAGTAAATGCTCGCCTAGATTTCGACATTGACACTAACTCTGAAGGAAAAATTTCTTGGGAACTTGTAAGTAGAAGTGTCTTAACTGAACTTAAAACTACTCTCAAATAGGCTTCCATTGGTTGCCTGTCCCTTAATGATTTTTGATGACTGGTTCTCGGTGCTTTCAATTTGCTGCGTGTTTGCATATTCGTACTAGTTTATTCTGTGATATTTGCATATAACTTAGAAGACGACTGAAAATTTAAACCTAAGAGGGCCTTAGGTACTTTCCAGTAATGCCAGGTTATTAAAAGACACTCAGTTATCACGATTTTTTTAAATGCGCATGCGCGGTTCGATTATGAATTTAGGCTTTATACAGGACGTAATTTTGAAGTGATTTTTTCTTCTGTATGACATATTTCAAAACCCGCCCCTTTTTTTCTTTGGAACAGGTTGAATACGCGATTTCCAAAAACTATAAATACGGTCTACATAAATCAATCTGAAAAATTATTCAGCCTCAAATTATTTGCACAAAGATCGAAACCTGGACCTAGTTTCACCTTGATATGGAATTTGACCTCTCAAAAATTATTAGTTCTGAAATAAAGTACGAGTAAAGTTGAAAAAATCGACATGCATCGTGGTAGAGATGTTACACTTATAAGAATTGATGATAAACATCGCTACAGGTATAAATTCTGAGAACGGTCATATTCGGCATAAGATTAAAATATGAAGATTAACTTATGGTTTGAATATTATGTTAGTTTTTCCAAAAAACGCCTAGTTCACACTTTTCTTTTCACATAATTATCAACCTCGCCAATCATATAATTTGAGGTTATGTTGTTGTCAGAGTCTCTCGTTGAAATTATTTACAAAATTCATTAATTTAGCTTATTCCTCAAGCCCCTGAAGTTTGCGTAACTATTTTGATTACATTTGAAAAAATTTCTTGCGCATAGATTCTTTTACTTGTGACCGAATATCTAATTTCGAAACCACTTTGTTATAATCACTACCACAGATGGAAACAATTTCTTTGGCACTCTTGGCTATAGACAGTAAATGCGTCTGTTTCGTTTTCGATGCGCCACCCTGTATATGCGCATTAAAAACACATTTTTTCACGCCACTAGCCATCACCTCTTAAATTGTGTTCTTTGAACAGGAAAGCTTTTATAGCCACGTTCTGGTACTCAATAAGACCCCTCAGTTGTGCACCGTTCATCCAAACATGGACGTACATTACAGCATTTCGCCATGGTAGGTAGCCTCGCGTTGAAAGTCAAATCAAAGGTATTTATCTGTCTGTTTAAATGTATATGTCTGTCTGCCTGCACATATCCAGCATGCAGAAGTGCAATGCATTGAGGCAGCATCAGAAGGTGGAAAGACGTTCTTTTCGACCATCAAAGAGACCTTACTCCTTTCTCCAGTCCCAACAACACATACACCCGATTGGAGGAGAATCTCAAGCAGTATCGTTGACAGTCATGTGAGAAGGTTACAGAAGAGTCAAACTAAGTCGTGAAAGGAAGAATTAAAATTGTGGGGGTGCTAAAGTTGGATGCTGAAGTTCTTCGCCTCAACTCTTAAGGTCAGTGGTTGCATTCCAACACGTAGGACATAATAATCATTAGCATGCCCAAGAGAACCTTCCTGAAAGCTTTAGGAATATCAAAAGTTCAATTCGGTTGAAAATATGGGCCGATTCCACTTCACTCTAATAGACCTAGACGCAGTGTAGTTTCCTAGAGACTGATTTCTAAATTTAAATTTACTCAAAGTTAGTGGCCCAATGCAAAGAGGCTTTACCATGACATAGTTCAGTTAAGAATGTGCCATTTATCTAAAGATGATCTAAAAACCAACCCACGAGGACAATAAAAGCTACCCTACTAACTAATCAAAGAACCCCACTTAGTACATCATTGTTATCCATAATTGATTAGTGTTACGTGTTAGCCTAAAGTTAATTCCAGTCCATGTACAGCGCTGTGTCCATGCTGAAGGGTTTTGAGGCAGAAAGCCGCAGTGTGCTCTCGCACGTAGTTTTTAGACTGGATGGGTTAAGCGCCTCTAAGCGGGTTTTTTGGAAAATTTGCTTATTGAGATAAATAATGAAAAAAAAAGACGAAGCAGTAAGATGCAATGATTTATCAATAGGTTTTTATGTGGGTTATTCGCACTGTGGAGTTTCATTGTCACAATATATGTTTCAATCCCATAAAACAAGATATAACTAGCAGTGAAGCGATGTATAGAGGTGAATGAAATAGACTGCTTCCCCGAGGTGTCCGGTGCAACTCGTTCGACTCTGCAGGACGCCGTCGCGTTTTTGCATGTGCTCCGTCGGTAATGTAGGTTGCTCAGTGGCAGCTACCGGAGGACGACACATGAGTTATATATCCTCCGACCGCTTTCCTCATATTAGAAAATATAAATCATCCGCCCGGCAATAAGTATAAATCAGACCGGCCACTGCGTAATAATCTGAGCATCATAGGTGGCGAAAGCTGCGCACAATTCAAGGCTACAAGCGTAATTTCGTTGTCCATCAAAAAATCAGAAAAGTGCGTGAGGTATAATATATTGATTTTGCTTTTTACTTAATGCATTTTTCCTATCAAATATGAATGAACTCAATGTACAAGAGGCGTGGTGCCGCTTATACATTACAAAAAAATAAAGAGACTGGAAACGGACACTGCAATTTTATTTTTAGTTTAGTTCTGAGCACTTTGCAGATATTGATAAAATCGCACAAGTTTTAATTCAGATGAACTGCAACCTATCTGGGCAAATAAAAAATGATTAGCTGAAAAGAGAAAAAGGCACTTTTTATATACATTGCTCATCAATAAGCGCCACTCGTCATCTTCTTTGAGGTTAGGCCTAGTGCATATATTATTTTCATTAATTTTAGCTTACTTACCTCATTATTGTGGAAGGTTCCATGATACTGAGGATTTGGTGTGCTTTGAGATTGCCTCGCGTATCCGTAAAAAATGACATTAAAATTTTTTGTGTGAGAGGAAACGGCCTTGCTCCATGTTCCCGATCAACTGCTATTTTCATTTCCTCAGTTCATAAGCTTTTTAGGCCTCTCAATATTTTAGCTCAAATAACCTTTCGGTTTGTATTTGCTAATTGCAACATTCTGAAAACTATCGTTAAGTAGATTCATATCAAGGAAACTCGATCAAAGCACTAAACGATTTTATTCAACTGCATATTAAATATAGAATTAACCATACATCATATGGCTTCTCAACAGAGTAAAACTGTAATGTTTTTCATAATCCTTATCTATTTAGAGAATAATGGTAGTAGTTGCTAAGATGGAAATGGAGCACATTGTTGCGCTAAAAATGATGGCAGGTAGATTTGCTTGGTAACTCTCATGCATATTGCATCGGTACACACTGTAAATCATCCGAACATAAACGACTTTTGAGTAACACTATTGACATCGTTTGAAAATTAAGCCTTGTCGAGCTTAAGCATTTTGATATTTTGATCTGGCCAGGACCATGCCACTCAACTATTGCATGGATTGCTCTTTCAAAGTGCAGTGGTCAAATAAAAAAAATAGTAAGTGGAAAATTGGTAGCATAGACTATGACCCCACAACAAAACGCTCTCCTTTGATCGAAATTGATCCAGCTGCTTCCGAAATTCGAAGCGGGAAGGTCGCCATGGCATGAACATGAACACGTCTCGTCAGTCGCGACACCTACTGAGAACAAGTTGGGTTCTTTGTTTAGAGACAGTAAGTACTTTGCACCATATTAACTCATTTTGTGCAAGGCCTAGATAAGACCCAGTCTGGGGTACTGCTTACATGTCTGGTATGCTGCTGCCCCAACTACGCAGTTCATGTTTCACACTGCCCCGAGGTGGGCTTTCCGACCAATCGGTGTCGCTTCCCTAACACATGGTTGCAAGTCTGTCTCACACCGTCGATTTTGAACTACGAGTAGTGCTTCTCTTGCCATCTTGGCTTATGCAAAAACCTACTGTGCCCTACAGTGTCAAGCTGATAGTGTCACTTTTTATATCGACGATAAATAGAGATAGACATATCTGTTTAAAAAATTCCAATTCGGGCATTCAAATGTTCTAGTGGCAGTAATTTACGGTGTAGCCATCATTCACAGTTGGAGAGCTGAACAAACGTTTGTTGTCGTAGACCATTGATTTTTATAAATATTTTATATGTTAACACAGACTGACACAGATCATACTCGTATATGAGTCTGAAAGTACGATGCTCCAGCGGCGACTATGAATCTAGAATAGTGTTAGAGCAATTATCGTAAACAGCTGCAAATATAATGCACCTATTCCCAATACTATTTATGACGCGTGGCAACGTCGGGGCGTTTCTAACTATTGCTGGGTTTGACTGATCTTACGAGAAAGCTTCATTCATAAATTTGGATGTGTCCTTTGTGTAAGTGTACGTGTTGATCGTATGTTGGTTTTCAAACTATTAAGAAATATTATTTTGTTGGCCGTGCACCGCCAATTCTGTGTTTGTGAGGTACACAGTCAGCAGACTGAAGCAAAAGGTTAATCTTTTTATCAGTAAGTGAGTTTAAAAGTTAAGGAGGCTAGGACCTCCAGTGGCATGGGGTTGCCGTCTGATGGCTTTTTGATTTTACTCAAACTGGGTATTTTAAGATCAACTTCAGATTTGAAACACTTTAGTTATTTTCTTAGGATGAATACTGAACATATAAAAAGATCTATAATTTTTGGTATCACTTATGGGGTTCGAGAAACACCATCACTTCCCAAAATATGTTGATGTCTGGTGGAAAATGTAAATCTGCGATGTAATGCTGTTCCAACTCCAGTCCGTTCTGACTTTCAACTTACAAAATGCGCCAGATAATATTACAATAGTCAAGAGTAATAAAAATGGTAAACAGTGACACTAATAATTTAACCATATTATTCTACAACTGTATCCTCTTAAATAAGAATTGTTGAATGTGAAACATTCTGAGATTTGCCTGCCCAGCCTAGAGTTATAAGGTTCTATATTTTCAACTATCCTGATGACTGGAATTTAACCTTACTAATACACTAAGCATGGCATTCTTATTTTGTTCAATTTCTCACATATTATGTAACTCTAAGAAAGTAATTTTCTACCTGATATACGGAATAAGTTCTTAGCGCGTGCTTGATAGAAGACTCAGTTAATACACAATGTATCTAATAACTTGATTTAAAAAATTGTAAACAGCAGCATGCGGACTTGGAAAGTATTTTTGTCCCTACAGAGTGATTCTCGACTAACGTACATGCTGGTAGAATATGTTAATCAATTCTATGTGGTAACCCGAACAATTTTTTTTAAATAGAATGCTCTACATTTTATTGCAGGTTAGGATAGGCTCTTTCAAACAAACCAATTTGATATATCGTAAATATTGGACAATTGAAGAAACAGCAGCATTGACAAACTATGATCTGATTTTGATTTTCTTTTTACGAAAAGCCGTTAAGCTGGTGATATGTCCGGTAGTGATTTTTCATCACCTGTAAGAGCAAAAAATCTTTCGCGTAATGAATAATATTATACAGACCCAAAGAAAGAGGATTCATGGACCTCAGTCAGAGTAAACTCACTGAGGGAGAGAGTAACAGCGCCTTCTGAGAGTCTTGCAGGAAGAGTCCTACATAAGTGACTCTTGTATCTTATGTCTATTATCAGTAGGTAATAGTGTAGGTTTTGGTAACGTTAAACTTGTTTGCCAAATGTCAACATCTGTCAGAATTTGAAATCATTTCTCAGGGAAGAGAACCATATCCACTTTCCACACAGTGATCTTCTCTCTTTTTTAAAAAATGGGAATCCAAACTAGTATCTTCTGCCAGATGAAATACAGACATTTTATTATCTTGCTCCACAATACGATGTACAAATGCATTGTAAAATCACAAAATAAAACATGAAGTCAAACAGTGACTACTTATTGTATTTTTCTTGTAGAAATCGACACAAATTATGTATATCTATCCAAAATCATACCAAAAGAAATACGTATTTAGCATTCACGTGTAAATAAAAAAATAACAACAACGCTGACGCACTTCACTTCTTTGGATCATTTTTTTGAGACGAAGACCTCTACATATTTCATAAATATAAGATCAATTTTTCATTCACCTGCGAGATTCTTATAAATTGGGAGAATTTCATATGCCTTTGATTTGAAAACAGAACCTTTTTATATACACATAACCTGATTTAACCTATGTTCAAAAAAAATATATATATATCTACAGGGTGGCGCATCGAAAACGAAACAGACGCATTTACTGGCGGCTCAGTTTTTTTTGAAAAACGCTCAGACCCGTCGATTTTGTTTTCGAGGGGGACACAAGTTTGGCAAAACAATCACGTTGACACGTGCAGCTCCCTGGGCGGGGGTGAGACCAACCCTAAAATCTTAAATAGAAAGGAGGTCGACTGATACCTTATTTTAAAGGTCTTTCAATTCCCTTTATAATGATATAAAATTAATGTACTTCAGTTCAGTAGTTTTGAAGATTTATTGATTTAAAGCTTAAATAAAACTAATACATCGTCGTTAGTGGAGATCAATACATTTGGCAGCAAAGTAATTTAAAAATGAAGAATGAAATAACCCGTAAGCCAAGTAAATGTTGAAAATAGCCACCATGACTCTCCATGCAATAATAAAGATTTGGCTCAAAACGTTGCCGCACATTTTGCAATATTTGAGGAGTAATTTGAAGGCACTCATTCACAATTCTTTGTCGCAGGTCTTCTAATGATGTTGGCTAAGTAGCATAGATTTTGCTCTTTAAATGACCCCACAAAAAGAAATCCAAAGGTGATAAATCTGGCGATCTTGGGGACCATTCAATGGCACCTCTTCTACCAGTCTATCGATCTGGAAACGTCTGATCTAAATATTTCGAACACGTAATGCGTAATGTTGTGGGGCACCATTCTGTTGGAACATCAACCTCTTCACAATGTACCGCCGATCATTCTGATTTTCAATTATGGCTGTTAATGCAGGATCTATGTCGTCTTCCAATAATTCCAAATACATTTCACCGGTCAAATTTCCAGGTAAGAAAAAAGAACCAACTAAAGGATCGCCAAAAATACCAGCCCAAACATTTAATTTTTGTGGCTGCTGTGTATGAACCTGTTGATAAATTCTGGGATTAGAATCTGACCCAATATCGGCAGTTATGACGATTTACTACGCCATTTAAGAAAAAGGAACATTCGTCGGAAAAGCAAGTGTTGAATAGAAAATGTTCATCGTTTATAATCCGTTCACTCATATCTTCACACAATTGCAATCGCCGATCAAAATCGTCTTCATTAAGTTCTTGTACCAGGTGAATTTTATACGGATGAAAACTATGAGCCTTTAGAATCCGTTGGACGGTACGTCGACTAACAACACACGCAGTCTCCAATTTGCGGGTACTTAACGTAAGATATACATAAACTTGCCCTAAAACCCCCACTTCTCTTACTTCGTTCCTTATGGGATTTTCAATGTTACGTTTTTTATTGGCGACTGACCCAGTTTTCCGAAATTTGGCTACGAGTTCTAGAACATATTTTCGATGCACGTTACTGTTCTCATGTCGCTCATTACATACTTCTGCTGTTCTATTAATTTACGTAATAAAGCGTTACAAGTTATTTTAGCAACAAAGTTTGGTCAAATCAAGCTATGTACTAAATTCCTATTTAAAATAAGTACGGGATATTTCCTTATCTTTCTTCAAGAAATAACTTTTTTGCCACAAAAAACCGCTCCAATAGCTATTTTCAACAACAAAATGGGCGTAGTGAAGAAAAGCATTTACTCATTAAGTAAATTCTTTTAGTCAAATTTCTTCTGAAAGTAGTACAAACTAGTCTGAGGCACCTATTAAAGTCTACTTTAAGCTTTAAATCAATAAATCTTCAAAACTACTGAACTGAAGCTCATGTATTTTAC